CTAGATCAGCGTGAACGGCCTTCAGAAGGAGGTTATCATCTTTGTATTTTTCAAAGAATTCTCTTAACTCCTCCTTCAGGTGGGCAACACCAGCACCATTGTGAAACACAATATTAAACCTATTGCCTATAAAGGGAGCGAGGGGTACGGCCAAAATCCCCTTGGATTTGAGAAATGTCCTAAATTGGAGAGGTTTTCCCGACTTCTCACACGCGCGTTCCTGAACAGACTTAAATACAGTACGAACGAGCCGTTCAGTACCGCTTTCACTACCTTTAGCGTACACCCCACTTAAAGCCGCGGCACCTACCTTATCATCCCCAAAAATCATGTATTCCCAGGCACCTAGTGTCTTTGACGAATAATCTGCTAATCCTACCAAAAAATGAAGCCCGCAGAAGAAATTATGCATGGTCCCGACCTGATCCTGTTCGACCTGTGTCATACTAGACCACCCCCCAACTACACTAGGAAGGATACTTTGCCTATAGTCCCTAAGAAGTTCGTTAAACTTTTTCTGTACGATATGCCTATCGCTCATTGTATTCTTTATATTACTGAATACAGTTTTCATCGCATGACTTTGAGCTTCATCATCCTGCTTATGGACGACGTCTCGTACTATCTCCTTTAAGGTCTCTAGAGTTGTGGCTGCAGTGCCGTCATCGGTTTCGCGCATGCCTACCAGTAACCCTGAACTACCCTCTTCCGTGAAAACACCATACGAAGCATAGTGATGACCGAGTTTTGAGGTACCATCACTAGCCATGGTCATATCCTTGTTTTGTGATAGACTTTCGGCAACCTGAATTTGCGATAATGTCCTCGATTCTAGATACATGCCTTTAGCCGTGCTCTTTTTGGGCAGGTTTGTAACTTCAGTATTTGTTAAAGTTTCTAGCACGCATCTAACTACCTCTTCGCAATTCTCAGCACTAACACTATATTTATTGATCAAATCGTAATAGACAGTTCGTACGGGAGTGTCATATATGTTCTTTGTTTTGAAGCTCTTTTTTTTTGCCTGACTTTCCTCATAGCCTAAGTCTTCTAACCGTCTTTTGAACCCCCTTATGTCCTTACGCGCCTCTGCCAACTTTTTCCTATTAGCCTCACTTTCCTCGTAAACTTTCGCTCTCTGACGTGACCGACCCAACTCCCGAGTATATCTATTTTGCCTAGCCTTTCTATACGCACTAGACGCTACCAAATTCTTAGTTTTAAGCCGTCGCTCGTACATAACTCTGTCTTGCCTGCGTTGCGCGTCGAGTTGGGCAATTTCTATCTTCATATCACCTATTTCTTTTTTTGCAGCCTCTAACTCTTCTCTACATTGATGCAATTCTTCTAACACTTCCGGCATAGACGTACTAGTACTAGGCGCTGCTTGGACCGTAACCGCTTTAGCAGTTTCCCTACCCTTGGCCTTGTCCTGCATAACAGTAATAACTTCTCTTAAATCATCCCCCCGCTTCTCTAAACCTTTCCTCTTTTTCTGCTCTCTTTTCAGACGTTTTTGTACTGAACGCCTCTTAGCAATTTGAGAACTTAATTCTACTGTTTGGTCACTTAATTCGTCCATTTTCTTATCTCTGTCGAGACGAACCGTATCTAGATCCTCCTGTAATCTAAGGCTACCTGCACGCACCTGTTCAAGCTCCCTTTGCATTAATCCTACGCCTAAGACTGGGGCTGCATCTTCATCCCTCCCCTCATGACCCTCTGCTAACTGCCTTTGATCACGACTAACATGCAATTCTTCTAACTCTTCCGGTATAGACGTACTGGTACTAGGCGCTGCTTGGACCGTAACCGCTTTAGCAGTTTCCCCACCCTTGTCCTCCATAACAGTAATAACTGCTCTTAAATCATCCCCCCGCTTCTCTAAATCTTTCCTCTTTTTCTCCGCTCTTTTCAGACGTGTTCGTAATGAACGCGTCTTAGCAATTTGAGAACTTAATTTTACTTTTTGGTCACTTAATTCTTCCCTTTTCTTATCTCTGTCGAGACGAATCGTATCTAGATCCTCCTGTAATCTAAGCCTACCTGCACGCATCAGTTTCTGTTCAAGCTCCCTTTGCATTAATCCTACGCCTAAGACTGGGGCTGCATCTTCATCCCTCCCCTCATGACCCTCTGCTAACTGCCTTTGATCACGACTAACATGCAAGACGAATGCTTTTCTAGCAATTGTCTCGAGATTCGCAGCGCTTGACCTACCAGTTTTACTTTGCTCAACCCGAATTTTATCAACAATCCTTGTTACCCTCATCATAATTATATACACATTCAAGTATGTCAATATATAACATAGTATGTTATATATTGACATACTTGAATGTGTATATAACTAAATTAAACACCTTCCTCAGATAAGTGGTATTACAATCGCTAAAAGGTGCCATTTTGATGATCGCCGCATTGTACATGTATTAGACATAGATACCAAAACAGGTAATTAAATTTGATGTGTCGTAGAACTGTTTACTAAATTATCCAAACTTTTGTCTCCTCTATGATGGTAGTTTGTCCCATTTCTAGAGTAGTCAGTCATAATGTGATTTGTAGCAATAGGTAAGTGACAAGCAAGCTAGCATTCATTCATTATTCTTTGTATTCATTCATTCATTCATTCATTCATCATTAATTAATTAATTCATTTATTTATTCTTTTAATCATTTATTCATTCTTTGTATTCATTAATTTATTAATTCCTTACAGCATACTTCCAAGGAGTATGGGACAGATAGCCTTGGTGGGTTGTGTCATGTAGATGGTTCCATCTTAACCAACTATGTCACTCGACCACTCACTCACTCGCTCACTTACCCACCCACTCACTCACTTACCCACCCACCCAATCACTCACTCATTCATCACAGCATACTTACACGGAGTATAGGACAGATAGCCTCGGTGGGTTGTGTCATGTAGATGGGTCCATCATACCCGCATCATACAGCGTAGGTCAAAGGTCAAGGGTCACAGAGGTCAACTCATGAAATTCCAGGTATTCGGCTCGTTGTCGCGATATCTCAAGAACCACTTGAGATATCAACTTCAAACTTGAGATTAGTATGGTTCACCATGAAAAGAAAATCTGATTAGATTTTGGAGTATGTAGGTCAAGGGTCAAAGGTCACAGAGGTCAACTCTTGAAATTCCATGTATTCAGCTCGTTATCGCGATATCTCAAGAACCACTTGAGATATTAACTTCAAACTGGAGGATAGTATGTATCACCATAGAAAGATAATCTGATTGGATTTTGGAGAATGTGGGTCAAGGGTCACAGAGGTCAACTTATGAAATTCCAGGTATTGGCCTCATTATGGCGATATCTCAAGAACCCCTTGAGATATGAACTTCAAACTTTAACTGAATAGATTTTTGGTGTAATCCCAATAAACAAAACACTAAAAAGTAACCTCTTTTGGGAGTGTATTTTAAGTGATTTTAAAGTATGGTGCATTTTGAACTAGATTTAAACGTTATCGACACGTGCCTTCATTTAAACAAAAAAGGTACTCCTGTTCACGTTTTTATTTAACCTAAAAACCACCAATTTATCACGCGACTGGAGTAACGTGATCCCACTTACCTCTGTAAATCAAGTGTTTATGACCAAATAACTACATGTACTTGACCAAGCAACAAGTTTTTTGTCCGTTAACCGATGGTGGTGATAAATACGTAATTATTTGGTCTTGTAAGCACCTTTATCGATTGGTTTCACAGGTTATCCAAGGTGGATGGTAATAATCACGTTACTTACACCGGCTAATCGTCTTATTGTTCTGTCCGTGAATCTCTTGTTATATTAAATAAGTCATTCTGAGGTGTCTTACACACCTCTTTAAATGGTTTCAAAGTTACCATAACTTTCTTGGTTATGATCACGTGGCTCAAGCTGATAACTAATCTAAGCAGTGAATCCGTGATATTTAGGTGTGAAAAATTAGTAATTATTAGGTGTCTTAATTAAAACACCTTTTTAAATGGTTTCAAAGTTACCATAACTTTCTTGGTGATGATCACGTAGCTAAAACTGATTACTAATCTAAGCTGTGAATCCGTGATATTTAGGTGTGAAAAATTAGTAATTATTAGGTGTCTTAAAACACCTATTTAAATGGTAGTCAAAGTTGCCAGCAGTTTCGCGGTGATGATCTCGTGACTCAAACGGATTATTAATCTAAACTGGGCATCGGTGAATTTTAGGTGTGAAAAATTAGTCATTATTAGGTGTCTTGATGGTTTCACAGTTACCATTTAAGTTCTGTGGTGATAATCCCGTGACTGTTGGCATATTTCTATTTTCACCAGTTGATAACTGACTGTTGGCATCTTTTCATTGCACCAGCTGATAACTGGTCTGTGTGCATATTTCCAGTTGCACCAGTTGATGACTGACTGTTGGCATATTTCCAGTTGAACCAGCTGACACCAATTAATTTGCATATTGAATATGGGGTGCGTGCAGATCTATGTTTTCTAAACAATTTATCTGAATTTACAGCATATTTCTTAATTACTGATGATTTAGTTATATGCAATTCATTTCGAAAATACTACAAATATAAATTACCAGTTATTAGCACATTTCGCTACTTCGTATAAATTCCATTTAATTAAACATGTATAAGGGAAACATGTCTGTTTGTCTGTCTGTCTGTCTCTGATACAGAGGATACAATTAGAAGAGCCGTCTAAGGTCATGCAGCAGCTAGGTCTGGTAGAACATGATATCAGATTCACATCCACTGTGTGTACATCTGCATCATTCTGATTCATTCATGATAACCTTTATCCATGTCTGTTTGTTTGTCTGTCTGTCTCTGATGCAGAGAATCCAATTAGAAGAGCCGTCTAAGGTCATGCAGCAGCTAGGTCTGGTAAAGCATGATATCAGATTCACATCCACTGTGTCTACATCAGCATCATTCTGATTCATTCATGATAACCTTTACCCATCTCTGTCTGTCTGTCTGTGATTCAGAGGATACAATTAGAAGAGCTGTCTAAGGTCATGCAGCAGCTAGGTCTGGTAGAGCACGATATCAGATTCACATCCACTGTCTCTACATCGGCATCATCCATGGAGGCTCTCACCAAGAAACTCAAAAGGTTAGTAGCAAAACTTTTCTATCCTTTAATGATGATTATATACAAGAACCATAACCCATGATTTAAAAAATAATAATAAAAAAAGAAAAGAAATATAAACCTTGTAAAATCATGTAGGTGGGCATCCAGTATGCAATGGCTTTGTTAGCCCTGACATGACCTTACAAATAGATTTGTTGGTAGATTTTATGGAATTTCCAGTAAGACGACCTGCTGAAAACGGTATCTATGAGTACTGCATGTATTTCAGAAGCCAGTCAAGCAACATACTCCCAACAACAAGACCCTTTGGTACCGTGGTCTTGCCCTCACTGCCTAATTAAAGCAAACTCATGGCTCTATAGCCACCTCTCAATTAACCCACTAACCTGATATATGATGAAGCTGTTATCTTCTTTCAAGACAAATATTTTTGAGAGGCCTATAGAAGAGTAATAGCAGTAAATATAAAATCCTGATAACCAATGTTTAATGTCTCAGAAACTCTTTGTTTCTTTATAATTATGTTGTTCCTTGATCTCTGGACACATCGTGCAGGAGATTCCCTCAAGAATCTGTTCAGCTCATGCCAGATGCCTCCATCATGATGGGGGCTATACTTCTCAAGGTGAGATGGTGGTTAGGATGATGATGATTGATGAGGATGATGATGATGATGATTGATGAGGATGATGATGATGGGCATGATTACGATGATGAAAATGATGGTGGTGGACATGATTACATTGAGGGTGATGGTGGTTATGACGATGATGATGATTACAACGATGATGATGATTACAACGATGTCGGTGTCGATAATAGTGATGATGATTGTGAATATGATAATGAGGACCATCGTGTGATGATGAGGAAGAGGATGAAAGAAGAAGGTGTGGTGGTGATGATAGTGGTGATGGTGATGTTGATAATGGTGATGATGATAAAGAGGACAAAATTTTGATGATGATGGTGATGGAGTACAAGAAGGTAAAAGATGAAAAGTTTATGATGGAAACATAATAATTTAAAGGATACTTGCAATAAATCATATTTCCCTTTTTGTTTCTCTATCCTTCAGATGTCTGCAGAATCCGATGACAATCTAGATCTTCTCGTCTCATGGCCCTACCAGGTAGGTTTTAATTTATTCATTTATTCTAATCCAATGCTGGAAAGGGCTGCATAATAATTACACTTGCATCAATGTTGATGTGTCCGTTTAGTTGTATACAGGCCTGATAATTACATGATTGAAATCGGTTTTCTGATTATTTTATTTATTTTATTTATTTTTACAGATTTTTTTCCAGATTATTTTTTGAATTCCCGATTTTAACCCTATTTTCAAGATTTTTCCCAATTGTTTCCCCAATTTTCTTACCCAAAAGGCGGGGAATGTTGTTAGATGCCATTTTTTTTCCTGAATCCTTTTTTTTCTCAAGGGGGAATCTGGTTGAGGACAAAAACAAATGCTAACTATCACCCCTGTGTATAGTGGCTCATTTACTAGACTCTCAATCCAATGGCTGAGGGTTCGCAACCCAAGCCGGCACTAACGTCTTTTCGCCAGACATTAATTAATCCACATTTGCTACTCTCTACCAAGGTGTAATTGGGTACCTCGCCATCCTGGGGAAATGATAATTGCAGGGCCCTCTGAGAAAAGCACCATTGATGCTGATGAGGGGTTCACTGGTTATACAAAATTATTATTGTAATTACTATTATTGTTGTTGTTGTTGTAAATATTATTATTATAATGTTATTTACCTGTTGAGTCTTACTTATTCATCTACGTTAGCAAGTTTTATAAATGATTTCTGACATACTTGTATGAAGTAATCTGTCATAAGTCATGAACAAAAGTTAGGGAACTGTGAAGTACTTTATTTGAGTTATAGGTGACAGTTTGCCCAACTCCATCTACACTTGATGTGATACTCTAGGCCAGAAAGTTGCTGTCCTGATCGTTTGTACAGTCGAAACTGTCTATAGCGACCGCCCAAGGGAAACACAAAAAGAGGTCTTTGTAGACAGGTGGTCTTTGTAGACAGGTTCCTTTAGTACATGTTTCAATGAGAAACAATTTTCAAGGGAAACAAAACATGTGGTCTTTATAGACAGGTGGTCACTAAAGCAGGTTTGACTGTACTTATGAATAAAAAAAATTACTTAACTATGTAGTCCCACTCATTCATTTTTTGTAAACGTCTTTAGATGACTTGATCCATTCAGTTCTAATGCAATTCTCTTTTCTCTCTTTAAAAAAACTACATATACAGGAAGAGGAACTTGGCAGCTCTCTTCTGAGCATGCTACAATCGCCGAAGACCTCCCAGGCCGAATGATGACATCTGAAAAGATCACCAAATGGAATGAAGGATGGACAAACGGAAGAAATATTGGACAGAGGAAAGATCAGGCCTGATAATTACCCAATTTAAATCGGTTTCCAGATTTTGTTCCCAATTTTTTTTTCCTGATTTTTTTTTTTTCTTCTCGATTTCCCCCCTATTTTCCTGATTTTTCCCTTATTTCCCCCAGTTTTCCTAAATGTTTTAGTGCTTGACTGGAGGGTGGGAGGAGGGGCAATTTTACCCCACTCCCCCCCCCCCCCTCCCCCCTCCCCCCCCCCCCCCCCCCCCCCAAGGTCCACAGGATGTTGATCGGATAGGATTAATTTCTTATATATTTTTTAATTTTTATTGCTTATGTATTTCCCTGTTTTTATGATTTGTTATGTTTCAGAAAAACATATCTTGATAAATTCAAAGACATGCGAGATAAGAAAAATGCACAAAAGACCTGGGCTTGTCATTGAGCAATTTAGGAAAAACAGTATGCAGAATGTCAATTTTCGCTCAATTCCGGCCTGACATGTGACTATGAAATGTTGTGTGACCTCGTAACAGATTGTCTGATTTTTGCCAATTTGGGCTAAGAGATATTCACTCATTCTTTTTTCTGCCTCTTTTAGAGTAATTTTCTTTTTTTAAGATTACATTTTTCCTTGAAGATCCTTGTTTGGCTGGCATTATACCCCAGCCATAAAGCCTTCTTCAAGCAAGTGTGAGAAATGCATACTTCATTTTTTCATAAGCAGATGTCTATGTAACATTTTTAAATCTTAGATGCATGGCCCTAGGTGCTATCAGTGTCTGTGACATGTTGTAATATTGAAGCCCTAAAAAAATTGCACTTCAAAATATCATGAAGTGCCTCAAAAAAGTAAAACTCTTTTAGTGACCGGTTTAACCATACTCATTTTCCCCACTAGACTAAAGTGTTTGGTTTCGATTTCCAATCATAAATATCTTGATAATCAGACAGGCGATCAGCTTGTAAAAGTCATGGGGTTCCTGACTGCCCTAACAGTTTATAATTATGATTGCAGCATGAGCTAAAGATTTTTTCAGAATCTATGGCAATGTTACGGAGTCACTTTAAGGAAAAGTCAAGATAGTGAAATACATCATTCCTTTCATACAAAGAGGTTTTTTGTTTGGGCTTGAGGGAGAGAAGGTGCGATCCTTTTAAGATGGGGCTATGATTGTTGTAAATACTTTGTAAATATACTTTGTACTAAATATCCACATAAATAAACCTGTTTACAACAGTATTTGTTATATTATTTGAGTTAGCCGAGAGAGAATGATGGAAAAGATAGTACAAGGAGCAGAAGAAGACAGTTTGAAAGGATATTATGGAAACAAATATCAGTGGGGAGAGAGAGAAAGAGAGAGGGGGGAGGGGAGGGGTAGAAAGAAGAGATATTAAAGATAGGTGAGAGAGAGAAAGATAGGTAACTAGAGAATGGAAAAGTCGTATCTGATCATTTATTTTCATTAAAGATAACAATTAGTATGAGCAAAAAGAGAAAATTCAATCTTCATTTACATATATATTTTTTGGGGGTGCACATTACACATGCTATTTTATGCTTCAATTAGATCTTTCTCCCTTCCTCTCCTCCGTTTCACACTCTTCCTTCACTCCCTGTATCTCTCCTTCCCAGCTCTCCCTCTCCTTCCATTCCCCTCTCATTCTCTCTTTAGCTCTTACTCTTTCATACGCAAAACAATAGCATGACACCTTGACAAAACCTACCCTTTGTAGGCCTACTAAGGGAAGAAAAATGCGTGTGAAACAAAAAGAACTCGTTTTTGAGTTGCATTTTCCCTCTCTTTTCCTCCCTTTATAATCTACTTTCATTTGCCCTCCCTTTCCTCTATTCCCGTCTCCCCCCTCCCCCTTGTTCCCTCTCAGTCTCTCTTTTGCTCTTACTCTTTCATCACTCTCACAAAACACAAATATAGTAAGACGTTAGCATGTTTTTTAAGATCTACTAAGAAAAGAAAAAGGTTTGTGAAACACGAATAACTTGTTTTTGAGTTGCATTTTTTCTTTAATTTCCAAGATGATAGAATGACAATGAATCATGTAACTACGAAGCAATGAGCAATAAGATTCAACAAAAAAATTAAAATATGCTAAAAATTGTTCGAAAATTCCCTTTAAACAAACAACGATTATACAATATTTTCGAAGAAATGGAATTAAAACACTTATGATGATGTAAAAATCTTAAATCTACGAAGAATTAACAAACAATTTTCAACAGTATACATTGTTCTTAAAAATTCTTAAATATGATACTTCACTTAAAGTAAGGCTTAGAAATTACTGTTAACTTACAAACTGGGTAAATATGTTTCAAATTTAAAACGGTTGTTTGTATGCACTTTATAGAATAGAAGTATACTTTGGTGTATAATGCACAGAGTTTCCAGAGACATTTTGAAATTGTTTTTCTGCTTTTATTCTTACGAGTAGAATTTCAATATAGAACCAACTATTCAGAGAATACTTAAAAATGGGAGTGAGTTACATCCCTCTCCTTTCTTTAAAAAAAAATCTATAACATCATTCAATTGATGAAACTTTGGATACATGTACTATTGAAACCCATACAAGTAGATGGAAAGAAAATAATGTCCTTTTTTCAAGGATTGCAGAAAATCATAACGGTTCTTGAAACTCTGTGCACATTATAGGACACGCACATTACACTCAAAAATACATATTCTTGTGACATATTCAAAAAATGAAAAATAAAACTGCCACTCGGTCAACTGGCACTTGTAAAATTCTTTGGTATGTTTAGCTGTTTCTGATCTTAGGTTCATAATAACTATACTCTCTGATTTTCATGCAATATTCTGATCATCAAAAAGCAACTTTTCTTTCCTCTTTTCCTGCATATTCTGTTTACATCGAGGCTACCATAGTTTTGTAGCTCCAAGTAGATATTGCATTGCAATGGAAAATAATACTTAGTGGCATATAGAGAGGGTACTCTTTTAGTGCCGTGTGCAAAGAATGGAAAACTCCTCTCAGACACAGCCAATCAGAAAGCACCTTTCAGCCTTGGCAGCTTTTCATGGAATGTAAGACAAGCTTTGGGATTGGTGGGTCTAACTTTGGCAATCAGCCAATCACGGTCCACCTTTACTCACTTGGTGGCTACACAGCTACTAGCATCTCACAAGCAATTTGATTGGCTAAGCCATAACCTGTCCAACTACAATCAACCAATCACGGCTCTCCATTCAAAACCTTTAAGGCTATTTAGAATTGTCTGTTTTGTGCAGTGAATTTTGATTGGGTAACTAGCTATAATGCATTGAATGCTATGAAAATTTCCATGGCTTTTTAATACCAGCTAGTGATTATTTTTAAATTCTGATTTTGTTTTAACTCTGGCTAAAATTGCTGTACAAAAAGTACAAAAATAGAACCTGAGAAATATTCTCTCATTTTTCTGTCGTCTTTCGGGTGACGCATGAAGGTGGGGTTCGTGCAACGGTATAAAATAAAACATATAAAAAGGGTTCTTAGAACCATATGAACAAAATAAACAATATTTCTTTTGACAATATGACCAGTTATAGGCCTATACTGTGTTATAAGTCCCTGGTCTCGGACAGAGTCTTCAGGAAATCTGAGCCAAAATTTACATCAATTTTCAGAACACGGCAAAATGAAAGAGAACGTACGCAACATCATCAACAGATTGTGTTATTGCAAATGAAGACCAGGGACTTATCGAACATTGTGTGTTTAAAACTTCTCTGTAAATATACACATATATAAAGCTCTTTTTTCTTTAAAATACAACCTTAAAGTAAGATATATACTTAACATAATACATGTCCACGTGCGGGCACTGCAGGCTACACAAAAATGCACAAATTAATTTTCCTAAAATGATGAAAATGATGGATTATAACACATACATTTCTACAATGAATAGTTTGCAAACTGGTGATTTTTTTGTTTTACTCAACATTTAAAAGTCTTACATTACATGGAATTAATTGATAAAGGGATTTCAAAGTAATTACTTTCTTTAATAGAGGAAGTCAATGGGTTATAAACAAATAGACTTCATTAAGTTTGGGCTAAATTCATCACATTATTTGAACGATATTAAAGGGCTGCAACAGGAAAGTATTATCTACTGAAAGTGAAAATGGTATTAAGTACCACATCAGAATAATGCTCTTTTTAGCTGTCAACATATGATTTGAGTTAGGTACTTGCCAGATATGGTAACTCTAAAAACACGTAGCAGGAGTTTATAATTTGTAGTTTTGTCTTTTTGTCTGCAAACTAGCTATCTCTCCATAATGCATCAGAGCATCCCACATTGGATTGTAAACATATAACAAATTCTTTTTTGTTCAAACTCAAGTCAAGGAGATATTGCAAAGTCTGAAATAAAATTCCTAATTGCAATACACAAGGACGGCATTCTAATGTTTACAGGATATCTCTATCCAACACACTGTATCGAACCTCCGCAAATGGACGTTGCATAATAATGAATTGTTCAGTGGTTTAGATCTCTTCTGAAATAGGTTAACAGCGAATGCTGAGCGTACTTTGGCAGCTGAAAGCCGATTTTAAACCTGAATACAAAAACTGTCCAACTTGAATACAAAAGGGCATACAGAGCCATCTTTACTCCTAAGTTGATGGAGAAAGAGAGCTTTTGAAGCGAGTACTGTATAAAACACACACAGTGTACATTTTTGGCAAATATCAAACCCGTTCAAATAGACACACTAATGTTACCAATGTTACAAGGGAAAAAAACACAGAACCATTGTTTGATAAACTCAATCTGTTGCCATTTTGAAGTACCATGAACCAAAAAAAAAATGGTCTTTTCTCAACTCTGCTCTGGACATTGCTGTGCTAATTAATGCAAAGTTTGTTTAAACACATTGTTTCATACAATAAGACAGTAAAAAAGTCCTTTTTTCCTCTTCATATGATATGGCACGTATATTTCATTAAAGGCACTTAATAACATGAATAAATAGATTCTGCTATCACTTTAATATTGGGTCTTGAAAATTCATACCAAACTTTTGAACCTTAAATTAGTCTTCATTTACACTGAATTCATCCTAAATTTTGTCCAATTTCTTCTGTCTTTACGAAAGGCAAGAGTAAACAACAACAAAACTTTTAAATACTTTCATTTTTTCTAAGTATCTCCAGGAAATGATTCTTATTAGGGGCAGGGTCAAATGGTTTACTTGTGACTTAAACTGGATATCTAATGATTTAACTTCAAAAACACAGGATTATGTTGTGAAAGATCTATCAATAAATGTGGGCTATGGGTAAAACACTGGAACATTAATATACATGTAGATGACAATGAGTGCGATATATGTACATCAATGAATTTTCTTTAAAATCTAAGTTGTTCAATTCGTTCAACAAATTGAAAACTCGGCTTAAGTAGAATGAAAGAAGAATTAAAGGAATGATAAAATATGACTTAGGACTACATGAAAAGTACATAGGAACTCTATCTACATGATGATAAAACCTTAGCTGCTCAATTTCCAGATAAAACACGAACACTTGAAAATGCTCTCTGATTTAAAACCGCAATAAAACTTGTGAAATTCACCTCATTGATGCTTTATAACTTTGAATTATCAACACGAACTGTACTATTAAACAGGTAAAATCTCCCAAATTGGTGAGAGTTGGGATTTGTTTTCAGTTTTGGAAACATTTTCAATTGGTTTTTGTTAAATAGAGAAAAATAGGGTGAATCAAACATGTTTATTAAATAACACCAAAAATAACTCTTTTTACACATCTCTTTTTTTAATTCATTCTTTTTCTAACCTGCTTTAAATGCAACTTATTCAAATGAAACGATTTAAATGTGTTTTCATGGGCTTTTCAAGTGTTCCTGCAGTTTTATGCTTCATGAATTTCATAAAAATAAGCAAATGGAAGGTATTTAGTTCAAGCTTTCATCTGCATCACATCATGATCTATATACATAAAGCAAATGATGAAAATATAATTGCAAGCAAATGTCCTGAAGGTGATTTGGGATGAATAATCTATTTTATCATCGATGAAATGTTAAACAATATATCATTTTCTGTTTAAATGAACAAAACAAAACAAAAATTGGCTTTTCTTCAATCAATTCTAGCAATAAAGTATTTTAGTTTAGCTGTCTTAAACCGATTGCTATGACCAGCTTGAGTTTGTCAGGCAAAAGGGCATAAGTGTGATAGAAAGAAAACAACTGTTTTTAAACCAATCCAAGTTGTGCATAACTATAGATGCAACAGCTCCTCTTATCAAATAGACAATGTTGTGACTTGTTGTGCTTTAATGGGCGATAGTACACATGTGCGATAGATTTCAAAACCTAACCTATCCTTTTTCATGAGTCTTTAACCTATACAATTTCACCATACACTGACTGGCAGAGGGATATTTGGGAATAGGGGAATATACTTCCAACTCGAAGAAGTTCAGGTTATATAGAAACTATCTGAACAAATATCTGTCATTTTGAAAGACACAGATTTCTCTAACAGCTTGAAAGACAACTCAGAAAGACAGAATATCACAAAAAGCATTTTTTGCACAATATCACAAAGAAAGAAAAATGTCTCTGTAGGAATGTTACTCACGGCAATAGGATGCCTAAACATTCTCAAAATAGTAAGGATATTTACACCTTTTTTAGTTAGACAAAGACTGCTAACATTGTGTTCTGAAGCAGATTACGGAAAAAAAGGTATTGGTCTAGAAACCAAATTTTCTAGCTATGAGCAATATTCTGAACAAAACTAGTCAGAAGATCCCCCCCCCCCCCCCCCCATATTGCTAAATGTACACATGTAGTTTTCACCCTTTTTTCATGCTTTTGTTCAAAGGCTTTTTGCCTAATTAGCAATGTGGGCATACTCGTGATATAGGCCCCGCAACTGTTTTGAATCGATTATAATTTTAAACTAGGCTTCTAACTTCAGCCAACTCACTATATATACTCGTGATCTAAGCCCCGCGCAACGGCATCGCGCGCACTTCAACACAGCAGCGGGGCCTGTATAACGACTATACTTATATACTCGTTATATAGGCCCCGCGCTACGGCATCGCGCACAATTCAACACAGCAGCGGGGCCTGTATCACGAGTATATATTAGCGAGTCTCCTATTCAACTCGCTATATATACTCGTGATATAGGCCCCGCGCAACGGCGTTGCATGTTCTACAACACGGACATGGGGCCTGTACCACGACTATACTGTATACTCGTGAACAAGGCCCCATCCTATGCATTTTCAAGACGGACAGCACGGTAGTGGGGCTTCTTTCACCGAAGTATAATTAAGGGGTGTTTTTGAGGTTTAATAAATAGAGCAAGCAAATGATTAAAAAGGGTTACATTTAAATGATTAAATTTATCTTTTAGACCCTATTTTAATATTTTTTCTTTTTTAATATTTTACCTTCTTAAATAGTTTTCCTTTTTTAATATTTTTCCTTTTTTAATATTTTTCCTTTTTTAATATTTTGCCTTTTGTTTAATATTATGGCCCCTCTCTTTGAATTTTTTTTTTTTTTTTGGGGGGGGCCCCCCCCCCCCCGCCCCCCCCCCCCCCCCCCCCCCCCCCTCTCTTTAAATTTATCTTTTAGTTAACTATTTTTCCTTTTATAATTTAGATTTCTTTTAACTACTTTTCATACAAAAGAACTGTGTGATATCATTAAGTTTTCATCTTCTAACCAAATCAGTATTGATCAATATCAATGTTTTTTTTTCTTACACGATACTTAATCTAACAAAGCTGCAAAAATGAAAAATGACATGTTCAAATTCAACACACCATTTGCTTACCTCTAAATTGAATCAACAAAAATATAATAAATTAAAAACAAATGCACACTTCAATGTCATGTGTGTTCAGGACATAATGTACACATCTTGAAAGGTAGAAAAGAGTTTTTATAACAAGATTATTCATTAATACTGTTTAAGAGGAATAGAAGACGTGGAGTATTTACAAAGGGAATAGCAATGGGTGAGAGTATTGGCACTAAACCAAAATATTTTTTGAGGAAGAAAAATGCTTGCATAACTTTCAGCACAAAGAGAATTCAACTCATTTTTTTTTCTTCAGTGGACAGTACTTGATAAGGGAATATTCCGAAATTCAATTGAAACATCCAAACCCTAAAATTTGGTGAAATGTATATGTCACCTAGATTCTTCGTAAGAAGTTATTCAATTAAAAAAGGAACACAGTGAATATTTTTGTTTATAAAGAGCACTATACCAAGATGCATATAGTTAGAGAACCTTCTCACAAAATTGAACACATCTGACCTTAGAACTCATGAATCGAGGATACAAAAGATGAATGAATCTTAGAATCTTCGCATCCCCTGTGTACCTTGGAATGAATCAAATCGAGTATCAGCTGGTAAATTGTGCCGTTCTAATCCATAGCTAGACGCACCTGTGCTTGCATTCATACTGCTTAGGAGGTTACCAAGAGCATTATTGAGCTCTATTATACGGTCACTGGTCTGACGGGTAGCCTGGTTCTGCTTCCATGAGTCATGGTCTCCACTGGTGACTCTTCTAGTATCACTACTGGATGAACTGCTATGATGATCTTGCTTCCAGTTATCCCCTCTGCTTGCCTGGGGCTTGTTTCTTACTGGAGATGATCTACGCTGAGCGTGTGTATCACCCCCTGCATCAAATCGATTCCTGTCCTGGTTGAAGTTACCTCTGTCCCTCTTTGGCTCTCTTTCACGCCTCTCATCCTTCTCTCCACCAAAGCGCCCAGGAACATGAGGTTCCCTCCTGGGAGGTTCCTCTCTTTTGGGTGGATCCACACGGCGAGGTGCTTCCTGCCTCGGATGTGGGGGAGCAGCGTTTCTAGGCTCTCTGGTTTCTCTGACATCTCTTCTTGGGAAATTCTCTTCCCAAGGTTCTGGTCTGCGAGTGGGTTTTTCTCTTCTTGTGGGTTCCTCTCTCCTAGCAGGTTCCTCTCTCCTTGTTTGCTCTGTCAACCCCGTCTCCATTCTCCGCTTTTGCTCTCCCATGTATGCATCCATCTCATGCATGGGCATACCTCTGGCATCCATTGTGCGCTTCACAGCTGCACGGTGCTCTCGCTCAATGCGATGGCGAATCAATTTAATTTGTAGGATTTTGAGCTGCTGTTCAAGTTCCCTACTAACCTTGTCTTCTTCCTCCTCCCTCGTGCGACGTCTCAAGTCTCGCTGCCTCCTGAACTGATCACTTCTCCCCCTCTCTCTACGTCTCTCAGCCTCTCTCATCTCTCTCTCAGCCTCTCCAAATGATAGAATGTCTTTCTTGTCCTTCTCTTTGTCTTTATCAGTCTTCTCTTTGCTGTCTGGCTGTGCTGTGGTATCCACCTCAGATCCTGGTTCTGTCGTAATGGTTGGTTTCTCTTCACCTGGTTTGGCAGGGGATTTTCCAGCTGAAAGATAATAAGCAGATGAAGTGTAAATATTCTAAATTAGTTTCAAATAACAAAATACAAAATAACATGATATTCTCTGTAAAAATAAATTACATTTTGGGCAGTGCAATTTGGTGAGAAGCTTGCATTGGGGTCCCAGCTTCAAACTTTGAAGTCAACTCTTTTTCCTTTTTCTTGGCAGAGCAATTTAGAAATGATTGAAAACTGCATTGTTTGTTATCCTACCTGGGGATGTTGCAGGTGGTTTCATGTCCACGTTATCTCCAGTCTTCTCTTCACCGTTAGCAGGCTTTGCCTCCTCTTCTTTCTCTGTCTTCACTGCTACGGTAGCAGCATTGGCCACTTCTTTAGCTTTCTCCTTCTCCCTCTCCTTCTCTTTCTCCTTCTCAGCTAGAAGCAGGGATGGTGGGATCAGAGGTTGGTTCCTACCTCCTGGTACAGGGTCGTTACCAGCCTGGGAAGAGGATGACAAAGGCTGCAATCACTAGGCGATGACAATCATATTTGCCATAGATAATGACACTGACAATATCTTAAACTGTCTCTATTTAAATTCAAGGAACAGGGATCTATAAGATTTGTTGTAAAAACAAATGAAGCATTTTGCTTCAGTTCTATATACTGTCTATCAGCTCTTCACAAGCCTGTGACGTTTAGTTTAAAGTTAGATTTTGTATGTGGCCCATCCTGAGCTGACAGACCAGTATTATAAAGTTCTTAGAATCAATTATTTGCATTCTACTTTTGTGGCTGAATTGTAGAAAAGTACTGAAATACCCCTGGGAACGTTCATCTAACGGAAGATTTGACAACAGAATCAATATGGGAGCATCTCATGAACACAAGCAAACACAGGAAGGCGTTAACTCTGTATAAAGTGCTATTAGTTAGAGCCCTTCTTGACTCTCAGCGGACGATTGAACCCTTTATTTTGAGTTCATACAGCTCCAATGAAATCTTCTCCCCTGGTGTACACTGATATAAAATTTGAAGTTCAACTTCTTTATTAAGATATAGACATCTAAATGGATGTATAGACATGCTGAAGTAGTCCCCCTCCTTCAGTAAAAAGCTTTCATCTGATCATGTGGACTTTTTCAAGCCAAGTGACTCTTCAAACAGTTCTTTGCTGTTAGCTGCCTTGAGATGAATATGTAATGACTTGGCTTAAGAAAGTCATAGGAGTGGATGAAAGCTTGACTGGTTAATTCTAAAGCTCTCTTAAAGCTAATTCTTACCCATTCAACGTGGATAGTTCTTCCGTGAAGCTCAGTACGATGGAGATGGTTCATAGCCCTCTGAGCCTCAGAGCTAGCAGACATCATCACAAAGCCATAGCACAAGGTTCCTGGGCTACGAGCATTGGTCACGACCTTGGCACCAGCAACCTAACAGGAGAGATCAATGATCAATGAAGCAAGATGTCCTACAACAGGGCTTGACACAAACAAGAATCCAGTGCACAAGGCCCCCCCCCCCCCCATTTTAAAAAAAACTTTGGGCCCCCCAAATTATATTTGCATGCATAGAGATCGTACAGGTTGCAATCAGAAACCCCTTATGAAATAAGTGGAGCATTTCTTACAAGCATTTGTAGCTTATTATTTTCTCTTTAGAATCATTCCTGAGAAGAAATCTGCACCACTTTCTACTTCTGATTTCTATACATATGTGCATTGATACAAATTAAGCATGTGAATATCACATTGAATATCCCTCAATTGATCTTTAATCAATTCATCAAGTTCGCTTCCAAAAAGCAATAATATTTTCTGGAGTAATTTCTCATCATTAAAAAAAAACAAGTGAGTTAAATAGGGACAAAAAAGATGTGTACATATTATTCAGTTAATTTATCAGGCGATTTGACATCAAGTTTATGTGTGGTCTTAGGCCTTGGGTGGTTCAAAAGGGAATAGCTATCTTGGCATCTATTACTTCCTACAAAAAAACAAAAAAAATTGAATTTGTTAATCTTTAGCTGGGAAGGAAATGATTACGCCATGAGTATGTGGAGGAAGGGTAACTGAAAGGCACCTTTGCATTTTACAATAGACAGATTTTTCGATTGCTATTGTGCTGTCTGTAATAGCAGCAAAAAAACAAACTTAAAGATCCTTCATAATCTAATACTGAATCTGTCTTGCTGTTTATGTTTGAGCCCAGAGAGACTTATTTAGTATGTCTCACAAATGACATCATCATGATAGATACAGGTAATCTATACATGTAATAATAATCACATAGTGAGGTTACTCTAGCATGGATTGCTGGCCCCACAGGCCACAGTACAGTCAGGTGGGGAATTCCGATTACCATGCACAAACAATTTTAAAGGTTTGCAAGTAGGATATTTTAACCATGGACCTCAACTTGACTGGATTTATACCAGCCAGGTGATGACACGTGATATTAAAAGAACAATTAAACAAATCACACATTTTATCATTCTACCGGGTATTTTGTTCAAATGAAGAATCAAGAAAACTTTAAATAAACAAAGCTCACATCAGAAGAGAACTTTTCATTATGACCAAAGTTATGTGATTGCTACATATCTATCTTAGAAGATATTGTATAATCAGGGTTATAGTGAGCACTAACAAAATAATGTTTTTCTTTCTTTTTTTCTCCATAAATGAACAACTAATCATCTTTTTCAATAATAATATTTACATCCTTTTGGCCACGATGCTAGGAGTTCATTTTTTAATGTAGTTAGCGAATGACTTATAGCTGCAAACTGTAACAACAAAAAAAAAAAAAAAGCTCCTAACCCATTGCCTACAGGGGCTGGGTGGTTCCTGTATTCAGAATAGCCAACTGAATAGTCAATAAATCTTACCTTTCCATACTTGCTGAAGGCAGCTTTCAGATCGGCAGCACGAGTAGTCTTGGAGAGATTACACACCCAGAGGTTACGGCCTCCGACCCTTCCAGTACCCGGACGACGCTCTATGGAATAAACATCAACAAGTGAATATTGTAAGGAGCCAGTCAAACGCACAGATATTATTTATTTACCTACCAGAGTAAGATAATTGCTGTGAGGCACTTCAAAGTAAAAAACCATATATGCAGACAATCATAAAATTGGAGGGGCAACGCCTCCTGAAATCTACGCCATTGAAGTAAACTTCAATAGGACTAGGTCACAAAAGCTCTTATTCATTACACTCTCAATGTCCAGAATATATTGCTACAGTCTCTATGCAGGGCCAAAATGAACTTCATCAGGAGTGTAAAGCAAACATTATCAATCTCCTATTACCCTGGAGTATTTTAGATAATACAAAAAGGTCATCGGGTGAGAAAAAGGCAAATACTTTGAAGCAAAGTGATCTTCATAAGTAGAGCTTATAAGCCCAAAAATATTTGCTGCTAAATGTGGTCATGGGGGTAGATATTTCATAGCCGTGAAAAGTGATTGAAAACAAGGAAATTATTAGGAAACCACAATTGAAACAGCAAAATCTGTTAACTTGCACCGTCTTCTCTCTTGGTCAGAAGCTGGGCGGTTGCTATACTTACCTAGATCTGTAGCAACTTCCCTATATGGCAAAGGCAATACATTATACTTGTAGAAACATTTTTATATATCCTCAACTTAAATTTAGAATGTGTATTCTTAATGATTTATTAGAACTTTGGCAATGTTTACGTTTCTGTGGCTTTTCATACAGCATAAACAGTTCAGTCACATTGACAATCTTCAGTTGGTGTGCTGAAATTGATTGGCCTTTAAAGAGTGTTGACATCCATGTTCATTGGTTAAACCCTGAGATATGAAGCTATGGCTGTGGTTTGGGCGATTTTGATGATGCTGAGAAGATATCAGTCTCAGTGTTTGCTGCAAGAGCAATTTCTTGTTCTATTGGTTATTGTCATGTTCTCTGCTTACAGATAAAGGTAAAAAGTCGGTTGTCACTGTTATAGCTGCAGATGAAAGCTTTACTTTTTTCCTGTCCATGAATGTTGAATGTTGATCGATGCCATAACTTGATATTGTAGCTCCAGCATAAGTTGACATACCTTACAAACAATAAGGCATGGAAGTCACCTTCAGAGCACCAGTCCTTCGCCAATACACTGCATTTCTTGTGATGACTTCGGTGATCTGAAGAAAGATGACAGCGATTGAGGATAGCAATAACCGCACCCTATGTTTATGTGACGTGCCTTCTTTCCATGACCTGTCCAGCACATAAACACAGCCAACTGTTGATATTTGGTGTGGTGAATGATAATCATGCAGTTATCATATATCCACCAAGACTAACCAACCTTCATGGTTGCAAGTTTATAGGAAGTCAGTGTATGATGTTGAGAGGTGATGAGTTGTATCTGCACATGGCCCAAGTTCCAGGTACTCCTCAAGATGAACAGCAAAAACCTCATCATCAGTTACAGATTGTGTAGATGGGAAATGCTGTTCGACAATGCTGACAAGTTTTTCTGTTCACTGGCAAGTGAACATCTTGGCCATTCTGATGTTCACTTTTCATCTGGCAAAATGCAGTTGTTTGGTGTAGAGTTGCAGAGGTTACTTCTATTCTTGCCACTCCTCTGTTCAAATGATCCTCCACCAATCCAAAGGCCATCTCTTACATGCCTCTGTAGCAGAATGCTTGTAACATCTTTCCAGCAATCCAGAGTTCAAGTAATCTAGTGTTCAAGAGTTCTAGTGTTCAAGAGTTCACGCAATCTATAAATCTCCCGTATCTCTCTCTTCTTGTTGTAAAAGCCACAGAAACATGCCAATATTAAACCTATCACTAAAATACCCACCCACCCCCTTAATTAACCATACAAATGTGCTTCAATTTCAATTAATCTTATGTCTAACATAATTCTAGCAGTTATTGCCTGGGCAACGATGGTCTTACCTTTCGTTTCTTCTACCTGGTCACATGCTTCCTGTATAGCAAATGAAAAGACAATAATAATAATAATAGTGGCTACTTGTATAGTGCACAGGTCCACCTTTCGGTGCTCATGGCGCTTGTAAAGAATATGCTAATCTTTCCTTCCTTCTACCAGAAACAATTTCAGTCTTTATACAAACTAAATTAAATTCTATTCTTTGTTTCTATTAGCTGGCTGAACATGTTTCATGTTAACATGAGCTTCATTAAATGTATTCAAATGCTCATGTCCGTCGCTTGGTGGATGTTACATAATCTAGGCTTGTTCTGTAGATATGTTGTAAAGATGAAATTTGTTATTTGTGGTTCACTTACATTCATCACATTCAAATATCTAAAATGTTAGGTATAATCCTGTAAATCTGCCAGACAATTGGATCAAATAAGTAGATATTCTGCGGAGTGGACTTACATCTTCAGTGAGGAGTTGATCATCGTCAGCGGTGATGTTGATAGCATCATCATTGATATCATCAAGGTCACACTCCACTGAATCAATAACAGACTCAGGGTCAATCTTCCCCATTACATCCTGCAAAAACAAAGAGATTGATGAATGGTGATCAAGAAATACATGTAATGGAAGGCTCCGAGGCATACTGTGACTACAACTGAATTAAAATGAAGACTCTTCTATCATTAAACACTCATGGTCAACATCCTTACAATTACTTTGCACAATCCTTTGATTTTCAGTGTCAGTACTCACTCTTGATGATCAGAAATTGCTAATGATTCTAAAGGTTGGGTTATCCTTAAAAGTTAAAACTTATCAGACAGGGGAAGCAGAATCTATCCCACATCCCTTGTAGTTCAGCTGCAACATTTAGAAGAAAAAAATTCGAGGGTTTCAATTTAGCAGGCCACTTGATATTTGTAACTACAAACACATGTACCGATATAAATTGCATATTTTCAAAAGTTTCCTCAAAGTGCAGCACCTGGAATACATGCCTTCATTTAATTTCTTATATCTTATATTAAAGATAGATGAGAGATTTATACCTCATCTGTCATCTGGAAGTCTAAACCACCAGCATCGATGCTCTCTTGTGAGAGACCATCCATAGACTGATCACCCGTGGAGTCTACCTGGAGGAACTCTCCGTCCATCAACTCATCTGGCTCCAACTCCTCCATGGGATCTTCGTGTTCCTCCTGAAAACAAGAAATAACAAAATGAAGAACGTGAAAATATCATCTTCATGACAGTGCTTGCCTCACTTGGGGATTCAGATAAAAAGCGACTTGATTTATAATTTGAGATTATCTACCAACATGGGATAGTTTTTCATCTAGGACAAGTAATATCTAGCATACATATTATACAATGACTGTCATGACTGATATTCTGACACCATAAATCTCAAAAATTGACATTTTCTTATTTTCCCCAAAGTTTCAACTTGTCCTGCTTTTACTGAGAACATAAATTACTCACAAAAACATATGCATCACATATTACAATCCACGAACCCATTGTGCAACTGACGATTGATTAAAACTCTTGCTTCTGGCAAAAATGGAAACTGAATAGATGGCTTTACAAACCAAACTGGAGTGAACATTTGCAAAAAAATAGGACTATTTCAAGCACACACCACACCCTTTGTCCCTGGACAATACACGGTTATACCATATTTAAACAGTCCTTCCTTATCCAAACATACTACAGTGCAGTCTAAATGACAAGGTCAAGAGTATTATGGAAAATACAAGCAAAGGGCATGGGCTTGAGAAAGAGAAACAAATATGACTATATAGGGTAATCAATTAGGTTGACAGAATTTTGTCCACGTGTACTTAGGAAAGAGAAGGGAACATATTTGTCCAAACCTCCCCTGTGGAAAATATCGAGAGTATAGACTAGCGAAGTTGTTTCTCAATATTATAAAGCACCCAAGATTTTCTGGATCATTTTTTAATACAAGCCGTATATCCCATTCGTGTATTATTCATCATGGATTATGGCAGCTCACATGCAGAGTTTTACACTCATAACATGCTACAGTGTTAATAGAGTTTTAGGCTAAATTAGTATTTTTAACAACTTAATTAACAATCATCTTTCCTAAGCCCGATGTCAAGTAAATACTAGCCAATGTATAGCATAATGCAACACAACATCGCTGACATTGTGATATGCAAGCAAGTAAAGACACAGTCTATCACCTCATCTCTATCATAATAACTCTTTTAACACATAAGAGGCATTTTGACAATGTAGGCCTATTTCATGGACTCAGCACTTATCAGCATGTGGATAAAAAGAAGTCTAGGCCTACTTTATTAAGAAATATTTTAATATTTTTGACATTCTTAATGTTTACACAGTAATCATCCTCAGATTATAAATACAAAAGTAAGCAAAAAATTAATGGTAGACAGTATACAAAAATACTTACGTCTTGTCTGCCAGCTGATCTCCCTGGAACAAACAAGAAAAACCAAATTAGTTACAAAATGTTGACTCCTTAAGCTGAACAAGTTCTCTGATGAGAGGGTAGCTTTATGAGCATAGTGTCATGAATGCTTTTAGATGCAGACATTACATGTACACACAAACCATTCAAACATGGTCTGAGCCTCTTAGATGTCTGACTTTTATCAGACTCATTGAACGATGGTTTGGACTACAGCCTATATGACTCCACACAGACATGATCAAATTAATGAATGGTCACTGGGAGGAGAGAGTTTGAATTATCCATGTGTGTTACTACACATCTTTACATAAACACTAAGCTTACATTACACAGAGCTCCACACTAACTGTTCTCAAAGACATAATTAGGGTCACTTTTCTGTTAAATAATGGTTTTTCTTATATTTAACATGCAAAACAATTCTTATTTGAATATTAAAGACTGTAGTCCCATTGCACATGAAAATAGCTTTAAAATGACATGTCACTCAACCTGGTAGCCCTAAAAGTTTTCATAGGAGCTTCGTGCCAATAAAGTTAATTAACGCATAATTTATTCATGAACGCCTAATTAATTATGCGCATAATTTAATTAAGTGTACATTGAATTGGCAATTTTCATAATGCCAATTACCAATATGCTAATTTCACTGTAAAATATTTTACCATTAAAAAATTATGTTAATTACCAGATATCCACCTTAAAGACGTCATAAATTGGTCGTAAAGTGGTAAACACGTCGTACGTCGTATGGACGACGTAATTACGACGTCATTATGACGTCTTCAAAAGACTAATTTTTCCAAGATAATTTTTGTCGCATTGACGACGTCATTATGACGTCATAATGACGTCTTTAAAGGACTATTTTTTTCAAGATATTTTTTGTCTTCTCGACGACGTCATTATGACGTCTTTAAAAGACTATTTTTACCAAGATAATTTTTGTCGTATTAACGACGTGAAAACGACGTCATTTTGACGTCTTTAAAAGACTATTTTTTCCAAGCTAATTTTTGTCGTATGAGGCATCATTTTCGACTGCGTGCAGTCGAAGTTCCATTTAGTTTCTTATTCTTTTTTTCAATTTATTTTGCTGCAGAATGCTCTTGCCATTACAAGAGGGATTGATCCTCGAAGCGTTGGGAAATATGCCAAAGACATGAGGGTTTATGTCCAGAATAAACTGACCACCAACGCTGTGCCCCCACCTGACCAGCGGAAAACCTGTGACATGGTTGGGTGTCTGATGAATTATCACATTGTTTGTTTTTCTCTTCCTTTTTACAATTTGTTTGACAGTGAGGAAATCGCTCCAGCGATGGAAGCTGTCGACAGAGCCCTGGAACTGTTGATTCGTCACTATGGCAACAGCAATGAAGAGGTTTTAGAACTTATGCAGATGAAGGCTTGTCTAATGAACGCCTGACCTAGCACTCCTCTGTATGGGTTATTGAGATCGACTACAAGAGAGAGTTTTATCTTTGGCTACAATACATCATTCTCAGAAATGTAATACATGCAGGAAACTACTTAATAGTGAACTATACCTCTGTTTGCGTAGGAGCAAAATTAAAACCATTTTTTAAAATGGTAACTGTTCTTCCAGCCTACAAAAGGCATAGATTTGTACACAGATAAGTGTCGGCTGCATGTTGATTATTGTTTTACCTGTGTATGCTTGTATTATTGTAAGTAAGCAACCAGGGGACCGACAGCTTTAAGTCCTCTCCGGGCGACTTGGTAATGAGAATTAAAACCTTACCAAAGGGCACGAGGGCATTGACTTGGTTTCGAACCCGGAACCTCTCGGTTAAGAGACCACTGCTCTACCACTGAGCAAAATCAAAAAGTAATTTAGATTTTCTTCAACTTTCATAATAATAGAGAAGTATAAAACCTACAAATTCTGAAAACCCTAGATGTCTAGTCTTCATAGCGTTTGGTGAGGATGTTTAGTTTGGTCATTGCAGGGTGGAAACTAAGAACCTGTTACTTTTTTTTAAAGACGTCTTACTTCCAAATCAAAAGTGACATGAAATCAATGGTTGCCATAATAAAGATAATTAAAGTATAACAATCATAATTTTCAAATGATTTTTCTTGTCAAAATCCTTCTTGTAAGTTAAACATACCGGGGTAACCTGTTCTATTTATCAATATTTAAACAAATCCTCATAAACCCCCTAGTGCCACTAACTTTATTTCCGGTATACCGAGTATAATTTTCAACGATGTCGATCTCATAACCTGGTTCATATTGAATGTTAAGGATTTTACCTGTGCATTGATTTCCCTTTTCAGTGCCTCTATAATGAATTATGTTCTTAAAAATGTACCGCTTTTCATGCCCGCTTCTACAAATGTAAAACTATCCATAACTGCTCATTATCTTTGCATGATTGATTATAATCCTGTGCATTACAGACAAAGATGCCAACAAAAGAGTTTTCTAAAAACAGGTGTGATATGGAGCAAGAAAAATAGACCTTGCGAATTCGGTTGATCAGTAACAACAGCAAGGCGGCGCATACAAACAACTCTGCGTTTTCATGAAATGGTTGGAGTCACCCTAAACAACCGTCAGCCAAAACCACACATTTACGAACATTCCTCTTCTGAAACTCGACATCTACCATGATTCTTTTGCTAATAAAGCAGTGACCTATAATCCCTTGATCTGTCGCGATTGTCAATTTTTCATCTCCCCTCCTCCCCGATTAACAATTGATTAACAAACAACACGTTATATGGGCCGGTGTGTTTGATATTTCCACCCATTGCTTGGAGCTCAATAGGCAGAAATTAGAATGGGATGCTTTAAAGGGATCGTTTAACAATGTTAAATCTGAGATACACGGTCCTACATGTTACCAGTGGCTGTGATATGGTGTAATATTGAAGCCCTAAAAAAATTGCGCTTCAAAATGATCAAGAAGTGCCTCAAAAAGTAAAAAATCTTTGAGTGACCGGTTTTACCATACTCGTTTTCCCCAATAGACTATAGTGTTATGAAAACCGTTCAGCGAACGGTTTTCAAAATTTGTAATTCCAATCATTAATATCTTGATAATCAGACAGGCGATCGGCTTGTAAAAGTGATGGAGTTCCTGACTGACCTAAAGGTTTATAATTACCATTGCAGCATGAGCTAAATCAAGGATTATTTCTAAAGGATCTAAGACAAAGTTACCGGATCCCTTTAATATCAAGGTTTACGAGCTGGGTTCAACAAGCGATGAACTGCAAAGTATACCAGTGTCCTGTAATGCACTTCCTGGGGCCCACTTCACAAAACATTTTTTCAATGACAAATGACAAAAATCAGTGACAAATCTGCTGATAACCAATCAGAAGTAAGGATTTCAGTAGCTTATAACAAAAACTGTCATTTGTCACTGATGACAAGTTTTGTGAAACGCCCCCCTGAATGAGACATAAATAGCTAGGAGAGTTGGATGGTGTGCTTTGAAAGAATTGAGCAAGATCATGGTTTTGTAATCGTTGATAAGTTTGATAGCTGTAGTGTTCAATATTTTGGAGAATGTTTCTTTGAAAGTTGAAACACAAACTATATTTAGGTTTTAAGTTATCAACATTCTTTGGATGCTTTCCCTTGTAGGAGAAAGAAGCATTTTAATATTTTTTCCAAATGATAGCAATGACCCTACTATGGTTATATATAGTTATCAAGGGAAATATAACAAATTATATACCTCACTTAAGAAATCCAGCCATCTGATTGGTCGAAATTGCAGTCATGGTTTTAGCCATTCCCGTAAATAAACGAAAAAATGCCACGTCCATGTAATAGTTCGAGGGTAAAATTCAAGTTACCGGGAATAGTTCAGTCTTGCTTAAAAACTGGTTTGAGCGATCGAGAATACCATACATTGTGTGTGTGCGAATTGGTCGCTAGACAGCAAGAACACCAAAAGGGTACGTGAATTAGTCTTATTATTAGCTGTAGATCTAGGTCTACATATAGATTGTGATTTAATGGCTTGCGATAACGGTGATACAGGTATTGAAGATTGTATAATGCAAGTGTTTGAATTCATTTGGTGGATGAAAAGTTGAATTCTACGCCGTTTTGTGCGTCATTGCAGCGCTGAATTTGGTGTTTGTCGCTTATTTCTGACAAATTTAGATAGCTTTCCTGATGGTATTTCATGCAAAATTTCTGTTATATTGATAAGCACTGATTCTTGTCCTTACCTTTGACTTGTTTCTTGTCTGTTAATATAGTCATTTAATAGATGATTTACTTGAATTCTGAGCATATTTCAGTAACACTTAAAATCCAGCCTATTCATAGTCCCACACACGTATTTGTATGTACTTTGTGCCCTTACACTGCTGCTGTCTCGATAGCGTAAACAAACTTGATTACCATGATTGGTAAGTCGCACATGTATTCTATGACCCTTTTCGGTATATAAAAGTATTAATGACTGCTTTAATTTTCGAAACATAGTTGTTTTTATACGCTCAAGGGAAGGTTACAATCGAGCTATTGCCCTCGGCAAGCCTCGGGCAATAGCTCGATTGTAACCTTCCCTTGAGGGTATACAAACAACTATGTTTCTCAAAGCAGTCATTTATACTATAATATTTTTCCAAAAGTACAAAGATCTGAAAAAGTCTTCGCGGATGGCCTGCAAACAAGCGTACAGTGACTACATCAATCACATTATAAGTCCAGACATGACCTCAAATCCTAAGCACTTTTGGAGCTTTATTAACAGCAAGAGGAATGACAACACTGGAGTAGCACCTCTTAAAGCTCAAAGTGGAAGGACCATCTCAGATAGCACTGGCAAGGCACACATCTTGAATGATCAGTTTGCATCTGTCTTTAACGAGGATGAAAATATGAACACCATCAAAGACAAGGGACAAAGCCCTTATCCAGACATGGACAAAATCCACATCAATCCTGCTGGAGTGTACAAGCTGCTATCAACTCTGCAGCTACACAAGGCTACTGGTCCAGATGGTCTACAAGCAAGGCTCCTGAAGGAGCTTGCCATGGAGCTTACACCCATCTTCACTATCCTCTTTCAGGCATCACTCGACCAAGGCATTATTCCTGATGACTGGAAGAAAGCTGATGTAGTTCCTATCTTCAAGAAGGGAGAGAGATGTAAAGCGGAAAACTACAGACCAATCTCACTGACCTCCATTGTGTGCAAGACCTTGGAACATATTGTCTGCAGTAGTATTCTTGATCATCTCGACAACCATAACATCTTAAGTGATGCCCAACATGGCTTTCGTAAGAAGCGCTCATGCACATCTCAATTATTACTAACTGTGCATGATCTTGCCAAAGGTATTGAGGATGGCGAACAACTTGATGTTATTCTTTTGGACCTGTCAAAAGCCTTTGACAAGGTTCCCCATGGTAGGCTGATGTACAAAGTCAACTATTATGGAATCAGAGACAACACCCATGAGTGGATTGATAGTCTACTCAGCAACCGTTCCCAGAGGGTTCTGCTTGAAGGAGTAGCGTCACATACATCACCTGTCCTTTCAGGGGTTCCGCAAGGTAGCGTGGTCGGACCTCTGCTCTTCCTCCTCTTCATTAACGACCTCCCAGAGTATGTTTCAGCACAGTCTACGGTGAGGCTCTTCGCTGATGACTGCATCATGTACAGAAAGGTCAAGACAGAGGAAGATACTGAACAACTGCAGAGGGACCTGGACGCTCTTCAAGTATGGGAAGCAGACTGGCTTATGCAATTTCACCCGCATA